CCATTTAAGTAATGCTATATTGCTTTATCATTTCCCATGTCGCTTCTTTGAAGCCCAGGTGAACCTTTCCCAGTGATGCAGTTAATAAGCCATCATCAGCAGAAAGGTCAACCTGGGCTGAAAACTAGTCATTCTCTTCTGCTACACGGATTCCCTCGACGCTTCTTTGAAGCCCAGGTGAACCTTTCCCAGTGATGATGTCATAAATTCATCCTCCGAAGAAAGATCAACCTGGGCTCATGATGCACTATCAGGGGTGGCCAGATGAAATCATATCGTCAGATTTGGACGAGTGCTGGATCTAGTCATGCTAAATTGAAACCATGCACTACATACGCACTCTCCCAGTCTGAGATACACAATTCACCAACAGAAAACGGTTGCATTCATATTAGTTGAAGTCCAGGTGAACCTTTCCCAGTGATGCTGTGAGTGATTCATCTGCCGAAGAAGGGTTCACCTGGGCTCATTAAGAGACGACGAGTGTAATGCCAATATTCGTGCACTGCTCATATTTATACATCAATCAAAGGATCAGATCACTCCTAATTGTCTATTCGGATTGACAATTATCTACTCGTGTCCCCAGTTCCCACGTATCCTCATGATTTCTATCTATATGGATTGACAATTATCTACTCGCGTACCCAGTTCCCGCATCTGTCGGGATATTATTTCGTTCAACCTATTGTTATTCAAGATTGATTTTACTCTAATATTTCTTTCGATTTATTATTATTTGATCTCATTAAATATATTATTACTGATTAAATGTATTATTACTATTTCTTTCAATGTATTCTTATTTCTTGAAATATATTATTTCTGATTAAATGTATTATTACTATTTCTTTCAATGTATTCCTATTTCTTGAAATATATTATTACTGATTAAATGTATTATTAGTATTTCTTTCAATGTAATGATTTCATTCAATGTATTCCTATTTCTTTCAACGTATTGTTTACAATGATTTCATTAAATCTATTACTATTTCTTTCAATGTATTCATTAATATTGAATTCAATCTATTGTTCTTTTAATGTAACTTTAATGATGATTAGAATGAATTTCTAATGAAAGAGTTCATGATTCGTCTTCCATTTAAGTAATGCTATATTGCTTTATCATTTCCCATGTCGCTTCTTTGAAGCCCAGGTGAACCTTTCCCAGTGATGCAGTTAATAAGCCATCATCAGCAGAAAGGTCAACCTGGGCTGAAAACTAGTCATTCTCTTCTGCTACACGGATTCCCTCGACGCTTCTTTGAAGCCCAGGTGAACCTTTCCCAGTGATGATGTCATAAATTCATCCTCCGAAGAAAGATCAACCTGGGCTCATGATGCACTATCAGGGGTGGCCAGATGAAATCATATCGTCAGATTTGGACGAGTGCTGGATCTAGTCATGCTAAATTGAAACCATGCACTACATACGCACTCTCCCAGTCTGAGATACACAATTCACCAACAGAAAACGGTTGCATTCATATTAGTTGAAGTCCAGGTGAACCTTTCCCAGTGATGCTGTGAGTGATTCATCTGCCGAAGAAGGGTTCACCTGGGCTCATTAAGAGACGACGAGTGTAATGCCAATATTCGTGCACTGCTCATATTTATACATCAATCAAAGGATCAGATCACTCCTAATTGTCTATTCGGATTGACAATTATCTACTCGTGTCCCCAGTTCCCACGTATCCTCATGATTTCTATCTATATGGATTGACAATTATCTACTCGCGTACCCAGTTCCCGCATCTGTCGGGATATTATTTCGTTCAACCTATTGTTATTCAAGATTGATTTTACTCTAATATTTCTTTCGATTTATTATTATTTGATCTCATTAAATATATTATTACTGATTAAATGTATTATTACTATTTCTTTCAATGTATTCTTATTTCTTGAAATATATTATTTCTGATTAAATGTATTATTACTATTTCTTTCAATGTATTCCTATTTCTTGAAATATATTATTACTGATTAAATGTATTATTAGTATTTCTTTCAATGTAATGATTTCATTCAATGTATTCCTATTTCTTTCAACGTATTGTTTACAATGATTTCATTAAATCTATTACTATTTCTTTCAATGTATTCATTAATATTGAATTCAATCTATTGTTCTTTTAATGTAACTTTAATGATGATTAGAATGAATTTCTAATGAAAGAGTTCATGATTCGTCTTCCATTTAAGTAATGCTATATTGCTTTATCATTTCCCATGTCGCTTCTTTGAAGCCCAGGTGAACCTTTCCCAGTGATGCAGTTAATAAGCCATCATCAGCAGAAAGGTCAACCTGGGCTGAAAACTAGTCATTCTCTTCTGCTACACGGATTCCCTCGACGCTTCTTTGAAGCCCAGGTGAACCTTTCCCAGTGATGATGTCATAAATTCATCCTCCGAAGAAAGATCAACCTGGGCTCATGATGCACTATCAGGGGTGGCCAGATGAAATCATATCGTCAGATTTGGACGAGTGCTGGATCTAGTCATGCTAAATTGAAACCATGCACTACATACGCACTCTCCCAGTCTGAGATACACAATTCACCAACAGAAAACGGTTGCATTCATATTAGTTGAAGTCCAGGTGAACCTTTCCCAGTGATGCTGTGAGTGATTCATCTGCCGAAGAAGGGTTCACCTGGGCTCATTAAGAGACGACGAGTGTAATGCCAATATTCGTGCACTGCTCATATTTATACATCAATCAAAGGATCAGATCACTCCTAATTGTCTATTCGGATTGACAATTATCTACTCGTGTCCCCAGTTCCCACGTATCCTCATGATTTCTATCTATATGGATTGACAATTATCTACTCGCGTACCCAGTTCCCGCATCTGTCGGGATATTATTTCGTTCAACCTATTGTTATTCAAGATTGATTTTACTCTAATATTTCTTTCGATTTATTATTATTTGATCTCATTAAATATATTATTACTGATTAAATGTATTATTACTATTTCTTTCAATGTATTCTTATTTCTTGAAATATATTATTTCTGATTAAATGTATTATTACTATTTCTTTCAATGTATTCCTATTTCTTGAAATATATTATTACTGATTAAATGTATTATTAGTATTTCTTTCAATGTAATGATTTCATTCAATGTATTCCTATTTCTTTCAACGTATTGTTTACAATGATTTCATTAAATCTATTACTATTTCTTTCAATGTATTCATTAATATTGAATTCAAGCTATTGTTCTTTTAATGTAACTTTAATGATGATTAGAATGAATTTCTAATGAAAGAGTTCATGATTCGTCTTCCATTTAAGTAATGCTATATTGCTTTATCATTTCCCATGTCGCTTCTTTGAAGCCCAGGTGAACCTTTCCCAGTGATGCAGTTAATAAGCCATCATCAGCAGAAAGGTCAACCTGGGCTGAAAACTAGTCATTCTCTTCTGCTACACGGATTCCCTCGACGCTTCTTTGAAGCCCAGGTGAACCTTTCCCAGTGATGATGTCATAAATTCATCCTCCGAAGAAAGATCAACCTGGGCTCATGATGCACTATCAGGGCTGGCGAGATGAAATCATATCGTCAGATTTGGACGAGTGCTGGATCTAGTCATGCTAAATTGAAACCATGTACTACATACGCACTCTCCCAGTCTAAGATAAACAATTCACCAACAGAAAACATTATAAATTGTTCAGAGGGAATTGCAATACAGTTTGTTCTTTACTAATTGGTGATTGCGAATAATACTCCATACAATTTAAATTGTATATTCTGTTGATTGGCGAGATGAAATCATATCGTTAGATTTGGACGAGTGCTGGATCTAGTCATGCTAAATTGAAACCATGCACTACATACGCACTCTCCCAGTCTGAGATATAATTCACCAACAGAAAACGGTAGCATTCATATTTGTTGATTCCCTCGACACTTCTTTGAAGCCCAAGTGAACTTTTCCCAGTGATGATGTCATAAACGCATCCTCCGAAGAAAGATCAACCTGGGCTCATGATGTACACTGTCAGGGGTGGCGAGATGAAATCATATCGTCAGATTTGGACGAGTGCTGGATCTAGTCATGCTAAATTGAAACCATGCACTACATACGCACTCTCCCAGTCTGAGATACACAATTCACCAACAGAAAACGGTAGATTCATATTTGTTGAAGTCCAGGTGAACCTTTCCCAGTGATGTTGTGACTGATTCATCTGCCGAAGAAGGGTTCACCTGGGCTCATTAAGAGACGGGTGTAATGCCAATACTCATGCACTTCTGATATTTATACATTAATCAAAGGATCAGATCATTCCCAATTGTCTATCCGGATTGACAATTATCTGCTCGCGTACCCAGTTCCCGCGTCTGTCGGGATATTATTTCGTTCAACCTATTGTTATTCAAGATTGATTTTACTCTAATATTTCTTTCCATGTATTATTTGCAATGATTTCATGAAATATATTATTACTGATTAAATGTATTATTACTATTTATTTCAATAAATGATTTCATTCAATGTATTCCTATTTATTTCATTAAATGATTTCATTCAATGTATTCCTATTTCTTTCAACGTATTGTTATATAATGATTTCATTAAATCTATCACTATTTCTTTTAGTGTACTAATTCTTATTTCTTTCAACCTATTGTTCTCTTAATATATTTTAATGATGATTAGAATTAATATCCCATGTCGCTTCTTTGAAGCCCAGGTGAACCTTTCCCAGTGATGCAGTTAGTAAGCCTTCCTCAGAGGAAAGGTTAACCTGGGCTGAAAACTAGTCATTCTCTTCTGCTACAAATAAACAAAAGTTTAATAAAGTGTACAGTTTGCATTATAAAACATGTAAAGCGTATGTACGGAACGTTTAATCTATTTTCCTCGTGATCAATCATTCTGACAATATGTTTAGAACTCGTAACATGTAAAATAATAAATGTTTGCAACATGTAATTAATATGTATTAGGTGTTCCAGTGTATATAATATATAATGATCCAGCCTGTAATGCTCTATGGGTTGGAGACGGCACCTCAAACAAATAAGACGACAAAGAGACTGGAGGTGGCCGAGATGAAAATGTGCAGATGGGCGTGTGGGGTGACCAGGAGAGTCAGAGTAAGTAAGGAGACAAATGGGAATGAAGAACATCGGATTAAGGTGCAAACGTGCGAGACTGAGATGGTTTGGACACGTAAAGAGGAGGAATGCGTCGGAAATAGGATGTTGAGCAAGGACCCATCAGGAAAAAGAAAAAGAGGACGCCCGAAGCAACGGTGGATGGACAATATCAACGCTGATATGCGGTCTGTGGGTGCAAAGGAGGAAGACATGCAAGTTAGAAAATTCTGGAAGATGTTTATATCTACCGAAGCGACCCCATAAATGGGAAAACCTAGAAGAAGAAGAAGCGTAGATGATAAATATATATTAAGATTATGTGTTTTCCTTGATCAACCATTCTGGCAATATGTATACTACTTGCAATGTGTAATCAAACATTCTGACAGTTTCAATGAGGTTATTGAAATGTTTTATAAATGAGACATTTTATTGATATTCCTTAATCAAAAACCATAACCGTCGTTACAATGATGATAGACTGTCGATGTCACCATAACCGTTGTCACATAATCAACAGCCTCTTTAATGTAGTCTGTCTGGTAAACTGTCTTGAGGATCGGCCAGGCGTTAGTCATGGTCGTAGTCACATGGACCGGTGAGTATGTGATGGAGCTGAACACATCAACTTGAGTATATGTTGCAGTGGTTGTAATCGAGGTGGACACAGTCTTCACAACAAATACCCTAGATACAGCCGTGGTCGCTGTTGTCCCCACAACATGTGTCACATGCTTTTCAAGATCAGTAGCCCGGTAAGTAATGGTGATGCTTTCAGGCTGATAGGTGGTATAAGTGCATGCACGATTTTTCTGTTTGATCTTCAGCTCCGTAATGTAATGTGTGGAGTCTGCCAGCTGAGGAGCTTCATAATGAGAGAGCGTTTCCGTGTGAGTTATGGTGTAAGGTACACATTCCGTAGTGGTAACACTAACATAAGTAGGCGTAACATCCAGGAGAGTGATGGTCGAGAGGACGGTGGTCACTTGCAGTCGAGTACTTGTCAAAGGCACCGAGGAAAATTCATGTTGACATGCCTTGACAGCTACGTGTGGCTCAACTCCTTCACTTGTAGGAAGCAAAGAAAGAGCTGTCCAGATAATAAGAGATTTCATATTAAAACTCATACTTTGTATGTGAAGCTACTTCAGTGATGAACTTTGCTCAGCAACAGCGTGCTGTCATCTTATATATGAATCTGTCCCAAAGGAACACGGTCAGACAAGAGAGATCCATAGTTGTAGCTAATTCCATCTCAAAGTCACTGGGAACAAGGGTGCTACGATGTATGCGTTTAATTCATTTTCCTTACGATAAACAATTCTAGAAATATGTATAATACTTGTAGTATGTAAAAGATTAGTTGTTTGCAGTATTGTAATGAATATGCATAAGATAGGTGCTTGCAGATGTATAATAAATATGTATAAGATAGCTGCTTGCAGATGTATAGTAAATATGTATAAGATAGCTGCTTGCAGATGTATAGTAAATATGTATAAAATGAGCTATTTTCAGTATATAGGTTGAATGTGTATATTAAGGTTAGGTGTTTGCAATATGTATAATTTATTTTTCCTTGATCAATAATTCTGATATGTATAATTCGCAGTTCCCAGTATGTATAATGAATATGTATATTGAATTTAGGTATTTGTAACATGTAAAATGAATATGTATATTGAAATTAGGTATTTGCAACATGTATAATAAATATGCATATTGAATTTAGGTATTTGCAACATGTATAATGAATATGTAAATACAATTAGCTGTTTCCAGTATATATAATGAATATGTATATTGACATTAAGTGTTTGCAGTCTGATAGTACGTATGATGCTTGCGCTATGTATAATCTAGATTTCATTGATCAAGAATTGCAACAATACATATAATACTTGCCAGTTTGTACAATGCTTATGTATATTGAGATAAGTCGTTTGCAATATGTTTCATGAAATGTACCACGTACATATGGTAACATGAACCATGTATAAAAATGTATATAAATTATCCTTTATGAACCAAGGTCACTGGACTATTTGATGAACGAATGAAGCATGTATAATCCACTGTTCCCAACATATATAAAGCATATGTATACTGAGTATAGATATTTCCAACATGTGTAATGAATATTTATATTAAGATTAGGTGTTTCTAGTGTATATAATGAACACAGAAGATTATGTGTTTGCAATATACATTATCCTTTTTCCTTGATAAACCATTCTGGCAATATGCATAGAACTTGCAATATGTATAAATAACCATTCTGACAACCACTTTCATTAAGGCTCTTGAAATATTTTATGAATGAGTGAAACAGTTTATTGATATTCCTTTGATAAAAGCCATAACCGTCGTTACAATGACGATCGTAGTCACATGCACCGGTGAGGCTGATAGGTGGTATAAGTATATGCACGATTTTTTCTGTATGATCTTCAGCTCCATAATGTAATGTGTGGAGTACGCTAAGTGTGGAGCTTCATAATGAGAGAGCGTTTCCGTGTGAGAGATGGTGTAAGGTACACGTTCCGTATTTATTTTTATTGTTTTTTTGGGAAACACTTGTTTATTCTTTCTTTTAAGTATTTTGCATTTATTTTTCTACTATTTTGATGTTTATGCTTTTCTTTCGAAAATATTGATTAAAAATACAGAAATTCTAGAAGAATAAAGAGAGATGGCCAAGGCAGTCAGCGAGTGTTTCGTTTAATCATCGTCTGTGTAATGAATAACCGGCAGTTGTCACATTTAAGTGAAGAACAAAAGGCGATCACGAAAGATAATAACCTGGGTGTGATCATAAGAACATTTTTATTGAATAAAGTGATTTCCTATTTAATCTTTCATAGTACGAAGTCTGAGTGATCTTTTAGTTTCAATTTTCTTGTTATTATCTCAACAAAGCCGGGTTTTATGCAGCCATATTTAACTTTTAGGTTTAAGGAATTTTTAAGCTTCGTCTTTGTTTTAATGGTGAGGCCTTCAGGCAGACTCTCCTTTTCGTATGCGGCAGTTTTAGCTATTTTACGTGTCTTTAGCACATTCCTTTTTACATTTTGTATTAAGATTTTCATTAGTTTTATTAGTTAATTTTAGTACTTTATTGTATGGTTAGACTGAAAATCGGAAAGAAATTAGTATTGTTGCATAAAGTGACTTGATGAACTGCGGCGGAACCTCTGAGATCACACTGCATTACGTGTCCGAAACGCTTCGTGGCCTCCTCCTCCTTGCCCAACGCCACCCATGTTCCCCTCCCCCGACGTCGTCTTCAGCTTTACCTGTTATGGCGTCCGTGGCCACTGGTGCCCCCCTGCAATTACCATTGATGTTTGCTGCAAAACTTAAAATGCTCACTCATCTGAAACAGTAACAATGACAATAACAATAAAATTATTTCCTTATGACGGTTCTGGTATACGTACACACACATACATGTAAATGTATATATAAATATATATTTGTAAATATGTATATGTATAGATATCAGTGTATATAAATATATATTTATATACACACATACACACACACAAATATATTATATATGTGTGTGTATCCATAGGCCTAGGAGCCAGGGGGGCTGGGGGGGGGGGTAAATGCTGGTTGAATTCGGGCAATTTTGGGCAGGGGCGTAGATAGGAAAATTCATAGAGGGGGCGAGAACTGAAGATATCCCGACAAAAATTTGACACTAATTCTCATTTTTGATTATTTTGAACATAACATAAGGCCACTAGAACTAAACGAAACAGAAAACCATCGTTATTTTTCCGACAAAATGGCAGTTTAGCCTTATAGGTGGGTTTTCCGCCCCCCCCTCGACCCCTTCTATCTACGCCACTGGTGGCATTCATCACAAATTTTCTGGCAGGTAAAATTTCTCTTCCTCTTTCACTCGGGCAGAAAATTTGCAGCCCCCCCCCCTAAATTTTAGATGGCCCTACATGTATCTATATATCTATCTATATACCCATCTTTAGTCTGTCTGTTAACGTCTTTCTATCTTGAATCTGAGATATATAGATAGAGATAATTATACTAGATAGAAATGAATATATGTATACAAATAAATAGATGTAGATTATAAAATTGTTCAAAGATACTCTTCATACACAACTAAAGGAGGTTGTTTTGGTCCCATCTCAAAGTAACTGGGAACGAGGAAGTTACAATATATCAGTGTTGATTGACCCTCGTTAAAAAATATGTTCACTACTTTAAAACCACAATTTACCGTTTTTTATTCTATAATCATCATACGGATATCCTTTCCCTGGTTGAGCACAATGCGGTAGCGGTGCTCTTGAGACTTCTTCCGATATTTACAATAAACCTTGTAAGGATTGCCAAAGTTTTACAAAGGCGAGACCGGTAGAGCTTTCGAGAAAAGAATTAATGACCGTAAACGTGATGTCCTTAAGAACTTCAATCCCTCCCAAAGGGTTGCGAAGTCAACACAACTCCTTTTGAAATGAAAAAAAAAGAAAAAAAAATGTTTTTTAACATTTACATCACACTCGAAGCACAGCGTCGTCACTTCTTCATTAATTGAGGCGCGCAAACTTCTTTGTCACCGAAGCCATGATCCTCCTTCCTCATCAGGTTACATAATCAAAGTGTAAGAGATCTATTCCCTCCATCACTAGTCATCCCCCTTCCATCTCCTTCATCCCTTATCTTTATCTATGTTCCATTCCATCTTCTCGAACCCTTCTCTGATCATCCATTTTCTTCCCCAAACAACTTCACCAATCCTCCCCCTGCAATAAGATTCTATGCTGATCTGCAACAACTCACTCCTGCCTTTGTACCCACTCCCCACCCCATCATTCACCCCCTTTTCCTCCACCCTCTCCACTAACCCTCCACCCAGGGAATGGCTTCCGACTAAGCCTCCACCCCACCCCAACCCCGAACTCTCCGTTAGACCCCTTCAGTAATCAATAAACTCCTCTTCTACCCCCTTATCCGAACCCACTCCCATCCCTCACCTCCGTCAGTAACCCCTACCCCTTCTCTCTGCCCCCTTTCTCTTCCTCATCCCCTTCCCCTTCTCCACTCACCAAGCCCTTACTCTCAGCATGTTCCAGCGGCGTTTTGGAGCAAGAGAGAAGCCGTCTCGTGTTCCGACGAACGAACCTCCAACTTAGGTGTTATATGGCGCTGACACCCACCTGGGACCCTGTGACTTCTCTCCCTTCTGACATTTTATAAAATATAAGATTACGTATAAAACGTAAATTCCTAAT